TACAGTCAAAACTTATCATTTTTCACAAAATTTCATATTTAAGCTTTACGACTACGCGCCTGGACTGCGCACGCAAATCGAAGTAACTCTAAATGAGGTTTTCAAGGCCTCAAAATACGGAAGTTTCGTTTTAAAACAAGTGATGACCTTTTGGGTCATCACACCTACTTTGTTTGAGGATTTGAAGTTTATTTATGAGTTCTTATGATGATAACAAGTTAGTATACAATAATAAATGGGTTGGAACTTAAATATTTATAAATATTTGGCAAAATACATAAGTGGCCACCTGAACTTTACACCAAATCCCTGTTACACACTTTCTGAGGACGAATATCAATTTACACACGCAACCTTTCAAAATTGTGACTACTACACACTACTTTTTTCTTGACCAATTTCTCAGAATATGTGTAGTGTCACGCACCAATAACATCATGCCACGTATTAATAATTTTTTTAAATAAAAAATGCTTAAATTTCTGTTGACCAGTTTCTCTTTCATAGTCTCTTTCTCTTCCAGAAAGAACCAGAGGCACCACACCATACTTCAATTCTTCTCTTTATATGAAGACCCACTTTCTTCATCATCTTTGTTCTTATTTACCGCTATTTCTCCTTACTCTAAAATTTTATTACCATTTTTTGGTTTCTAGGTTTTGTTTGCTATAGAAATACCATTTTTACCGATGGGTATTGCAACTGTAACAGTGGCCGGAAAATAGAGGTCGTCATCATTTGCAATTTTAACAAAACGAGACCAGATTTGAACGAAGAACCACCAATTTGTCAGAAAGATCTGAGAGCTTTACCCCGTCGAAGAAAATCTGACCTCGTCGGCCATGAACTGACAGTGAAAGTAACAACCTGGCAATAGAGGTCTCGGCGTTGCTTGAGGTCTCCGCCGGCATTATGAGTTATGATCGAGATCTACTTAAAGGAGATGAAAGGGAAGAGGAGATGGGAGGCGTGGGAGAGAAAATGGTGTTGTGGTTGTCGCCGGATGCCCAAGACGGTAGGGGGCTCCAAATGGGGAAGAAGACCTGGACATCTTTATCTTTTCTTTTAACTAATAATTTAAGAAAAATAAGGAAAACAAATAAGATTTGGACACGTGTGCGTATATAAGGATTTGGACAGATAATGCATAGGTTTTACGCGCTCAGTGTCTTTTGTTAAACACATGCGTGCCATCTGGCAAAAGTAGTGTGTAGTAGATATAATTTTGAAAGGTTGCATGTGTAAATTGATATTCGTCTTCAGAAAGTGTGTAACATGGATTTGGTGTATAGTTCAGGTGGCTACTTATGTATTTTGCCTAAATATTTAAAATAATTATTACATAGTCTAGATTTATGTGAGCAGTTAACTTATAAACTAGGGTTGTTCCTGTATTTTACGTGATCAGACATCAAATTTAATTAACCTAAACACTGAAAAGTAATAATTATTGAATATAAGTTTGAAAAAAAGATAAAAAAAAAATTTTAACTGATGATTTGCATTGTAAAACATGTGAAATTAGTATAAACTTATACTTCCTCAATCTAAAGAAGCTCTACAGAATTAAAACTTTAACCAAAATATAATTAATCCCAAATTCAAATACACAAAGCGAGAAAATAGAAGGATAAGAATTTGCAATATTTATTATTATAATAATCATACATCAAGCATGAGAGATAAACTTACACCGACCGATGTACCCAAATAAATTTGCGTCATAATTATGGGAGCAAAGAAAAGGGAAGAGAGGAAACTGTTTGATGGAGAGATTCTTCTTTTTTGACTCTCTCATGGTTGTTGTCTCGAAAAAATTCCCCTTCAGGACTTAGCTCCCCATATATATATATAATATATGTATATATTAGCAACTCTCTTTTATCCAATGGTCTTTGACCGGCGTACTTTCTCATGACCGTGTCTCTCATCGCTCGCCCAAACATCACGCTCGTTCTGCGAAATGAGTTTTTCGACGACTTGACCTCGGCAATGGCCGAGGTACTCTTTACTATCATGCCTCGTGGGCGTGGTTATGGCTCGGTCGGCCCATTATCATTCCTTTTAAGAACAATCATCCTATGGCCAGATTTTGACCCATACAGTTTAGTGTTGAAATAATTATCATGCTTTTACTTGGAAAATTTTGATTCATCGTGCTAAAGTGTACGCCACAAAAATAAAAGGCTTTTAACATATTTTACNTATATATATTAAATGTATATGACACATTAATATTATTAGAGGTAGAGCTAGGATTTCAAGTTTATGGGTTCAAGATTCTAATCATTTTAAGTTAGTGGGTTCTAAATTAATGAATGGTACATATTTAATGAAAATTTTAAGATAAATACATGATTGGAACCAAAGCTACTGGGTTTGGCCGAATCAGTGGCCGACACTGTGGCTCCGCCTCTAATTATTATGCAAAAAATATACACCGGCTATTAATGCAGGGGACAGCTATACTGCGTAGATTTTCTTCGTCAAAAGTAATTGCAATTTGCATGTTGCATAATATATTAGTACGTAATGGCGACAAGAAAACATGCTTTTCTAAACAGGGAATAATTTCTTATACGATGCCCATGGTTTTGGTTTCTGGTTAGTTTATTTTGAAGGATACATAACAATATCCAAGTGGAAGTTATAAAATTGGTAAATATTAAGTAGTCTATTGTGCAATCCAGTTTTACAACTAAACTATTGCTTACAAATTTAAAAAAAAAAAAAAAAAAAGATAAAAAAAGGCCAGCTCTTTTATCATAGTGAGCAAATGATGGTTTGTCACACTACTATTACAAATTAATAAGTTTCTAAGACCTTTAATAAATTCATTAATCACCTAATTCGGCTACTTTACCGTGTCAGCAATATTGCTCTCAGATTAAATTATAGTATTAATTAATAACCTAAAGATGCATCCATTATTGCTTCAAATGACTTTTCAATATTTTAAAGGCCTGTGAGTAGGGTGTACAAAGGAAACTAACAAACCGCGTCAATTCGATAATCTGAGTCAAACCGAGAAAAAAATCCGATTATGGTTCAGTTTGATTTGGTTTGGTGTTGGAAAAAAAAATCCGACCATAATTGGTTTGGTTTTGGTTTAACTAAATATATATATATATATATAGAAATTTTAGGTATATTTAATATATAAATATACTTATTGTGATGTAATTTATAAATATTTCTTAAATTTTTTCATAATTTTATCTTTTAAAGTATTATTTCAAGATTGGACTTAGAACTTTTGAATGTTCCAATAAGTTTTATAGCCATTAATATTGGTAACTCAAATAATGCTAACAAAAGCCCAAAACAAAATTAAAACAATACTAAGGCTAACAAAAGACATTTAATTCAATACTTAGAATGACAATGCATTGTTTTGCAATGATTTAGATCAAATGCATAACCTATTTTTATTTTTCTTTATCGTATAGTCATGTAATTAGTACTCCTTTATTAGTCTACTTATTTGAGCATGACTCAGTACTTTTAGATTATGCCTATTTTTATTATGGTTTTTTAATTAGCAATATTTATATTACGTGATTTTATTGCTTTATTATTGAATATTTTAGGATAATGTCATGACACATCTCATATTTTGTATTATTTTCTTGAAAAATACCTTGTATAGTTGTTATCTTACTAGGATTAAAGAAATATTTGGAGCACATGTTATATGTTTTGTGCTACGAAGATTTACCGGAAAAAAAATCGAAAAACCCGAATAACTCGAAAATTCGAGAAAAACCGAGATTGAAAAACCCGAGTTTTATTGGTTTGGTTTGGTCTTTAGATTTAATAACCCGACACAATTGGTTTGGTTTGATTTGGTAATTACAAAACTCGAATCAACCCGACCTATGTACACCCCTACCTATGAGATCCATTTAGTATCTCTATGTGTATATGGAAGTTATGAGCATATTGGCACCTACCAATCTGGAAAATTAAAACTGGATTAATAGATGAATAATAATAATAATAATAACTAGATATTACTTTACTAAAGATAATAGATAAATAAGGATTAACTGTGACCCTGCAACCCATTTGTATCATTAGACATTGATATAGCCTACTGTGACGAGCTAGATATTTTGTTTTTCTAATCTCTTTTTATATCAAATAATTTTTATTTTAGATTTGGTCCTAATATGACAAATTGCAGTGAATAAACAAACTTGAAAGATTTTTATTTTTCTGAATTCACTCTTGTTGGTCTGAAAATAATTAGCAGATCGAAGTAACATGCGAAATTATCCTCAACATTAATAATTGACACCAAAATTTTATAGGTTGCCACATCTCATCCTTAAAGAAACTATAAATTAAAGGCGCTTTCTATTTTATGTTTCATTAGAAAATATTCACCAATCGTGTCACTTTTATGGGCATGTTTGTTCATAGGTGTAGTTGCTCACTGTTAGTATTCTTGTACCATTTTTTTTAATAGTCACAAATATGGTGGTAAACAGGCATGTTAATTTGAACTTGACAGCGTTAAAAGTGCATTTGATTAATACTAGTTACTACACAGTCCGGTTATGTTTCATACGTGCATAAAATGGATTGGTTCAAAGTAATTCAATTACTAAAAAAAATTGAATTAGCTATGAACTTTGTCGCTAATTTACAATTTTTTTATAATCTGACACAAATTTGTATTAGCGGCGACTGTTGCGTTTTTCTCTTCTTCTATTCAATTTTGTCCGTCGCTAATTTCTATTTTGTAGTCGTACCGGTCAAATCAAATCTGATTAGCGAGAACGTGGAACATTTTAATTCGAATTTATTCGAAGGTACCAATTTGTTATTAAATATTTTTTCTAAGCAGTCCACCTACCCCCTTGCTTCCATCGTGAAGCTCGAGTTGGGTCACTTTGCAATACAAAAGGAAGGCTGAAATATGCTCTTGTTTCTGTATCCGCAGATACCTCATAGGTAAGAAGTTTTTGTTTAATTTACTAACACATGTTCTAGTTGGATTATTTGATTATTAGTTTTATGATGGATAATTTGAAGGGGAAAGCTATTTGAGGCTATAAATTGCTGCCACGAGTTCTTGACATTCGAACAATTTTAGCAATAGAAGAATACTTAGTCAAAATGTAAGCCTACACGTCCATAGATTAACAGATGTCCAGTACTCAATAGGAGAAAAAAATCCATAGATGCAATCATATTAAGCACAAACTAGGGCTAGTGAAAAAAAATACCAATATATCAGACTTACATGTGCAGCATATTAATTAAACAAAGTATTATAGTAGTGATTATCCTGAATCCCTTCCCCAGCTTATAAAAACAATTTAAAGCTGCTTTATTGAATTCCAGCTACTTTATGTATATTTTCTTGCAAGTTGTTGGCAAAAATAATTATGATATTCACATTTGGTGCTGCTTTTAGCCTATAAAAGAACACTAGCAATGACAAGATTAACAGCAAACTAAAGCTTTATCCATTTTGGTACTAAGCCATGGCTTCTTCTTCACAACCATTGTTGGACACACCGAAAAGAAAATCCTCCACTTCTAAAGCTCTCTATGTTCTTCTCTCCATAGCTGCTATTGTGGGCTCAGTTGGATTAGTTTCAATCTGGGCTATTAATGTCAGCAGCCCATCTCTTTCCTTGACAGCCCATGTTTGTGATCAGGCCCATGATCAGCCATCTTGCTTGGCCATGGTGTCTGAGGTTGCACCTGTTGGTTTGATGGATTCCACGACAGTGGATTTGTTACAGATGGTTTTGCATAAATCATCGTTAAAAATCCACGAGACGATCGATTTAGTGAGCAATGTGAACGTTAGGATCAATGATGGGAAGGAGCAAGCAGCTCTAGCAGATTGTCTAGAGTTAATGGATTTGTCAAGTGACAGATTAATGGACTCCATGATGTTACTTGGGAACTTGTCGGCCCAAACCCACTTTGATGTCCATACATGGCTAAGTAGCATTCTGACTAACCATGCTACTTGCATGGATGGGCTAAGTGGTCAGGCCCGGACCATTATGAAGCCCATATTGAAGGATTTGATAGTAAGAGCAAAGACTTCTTTAGCCTTGATGGTTAAAATGGCACCATCTAATACCATGGATCTTCCATCAGTTACTGATGGATTACCCTCATGGGTTACTTCTTATGATAGAAGGCTTTTGCAACTTTCTGCAAATGCCATAACAGCCAATGTTGTAGTGGCTAAAGATGGTAGCGGAAAATTCAAGACAATAAAGGAAGCAGTAGCATCAGCTCCAGATAATAGCAAGACTCGTTATGTTATATATGTGAAAAAAGGAATATACAAAGAGAATGTTGAGATTGGGAAAAAGAAGAAAAATGTGATGCTTGTTGGTGATGGCATGGACGCCACCATCATCACTGGTAGCTTGAATGTTGTCGATGGTGCAACAACCTTCAACTCTGCAACTGTTGGTAAAAAAATCTCCTTTCTCACTACTGTTTTGGCTTATTTATCGTTTTTATTTAAATGAAAGCTTTTTATTCTAACAAAGAAGTTTGAAACTCAGTAGCCATTGGGGAAAAGGTTTGTCACTCTGGAAAACAATAAATTTTCTAAAGGACAAATACAATAACAACATACTCAGGGTAATCTTACAAGTAGCATCTGGAGAGGATAATGTGTATGTGAATCTTACCTTTATTTCCATAGATCCTCGCACAATTCCTAAAGGACAAATGCCTTTGTCAATTGGGGCTTTGCCAATTGCTTTTTGGTGGCGATAACTTATGCAATCTTTAACTATCACTGGAAGCTTTAGGCTAAAGCTATGAAATCTAAAATCCACATTCAGCTAATAAGAACATAAATAATATTGGACATTTATTAACTTCTTTTTGCGGTTGTCTAACCTTTTTTTTTTTTTTTAATGCAGCTGCTGTTGGGGATGGATTCATAGCCCAGGATCTGCAGTTTCAAAACACAGCAGGAGCAGCAAAACACCAAGCAGTGGCACTTCGTGTTGGGGCAGATCAATCAGTCATCAATCGTTGCAAAATAGATGCATTCCAGGATACCCTCTATACCCACAGCCTCCGCCAATTCTACAGAGATTGTTACATCACTGGCACTGTAGATTTCATCTTTGGTAATGCAGCAGTCGTGTTCCAAAACTCAAAAATCGCAGCACGAAAGCCTGGGCCTGGACAAAAGAACATGGTTACAGCTCAAGGTCGTGAAGATCCAAACCAAAATACAGGAACTTCAATCCAAAATTGTGACATTATTGCTACCTCAGACCTTGCACCATTGAAAGGGTCCGTTAAGACATATTTGGGCCGTCCGTGGAAAGCGTACTCACGAACTGTATTTATGCAGTCCAATATTGGAGACCATATTGACCCAGAAGGTTGGTCAGTATGGGATGGTGATTTTGCCTTGAAAACTTTATATTATGGTGAGTATATGAACAAAGGACCTGGAGCTGGAATTAGTAAGAGAGTGAAGTGGCCTGGTTATCATATTTTAAGTGCTTCAGAGGCAACGAAATTCACAGTGGGTCAGCTGATTCAAGGAGGAGTATGGTTGAAATCTACTGGTGTGGCTTACACTGAGGGCTTGTGAGAACTCTGTTAAATTGATCTGCCTATCATGTACTGCTAGTGAAGTTTTAGTATGTTTCGACTGCTGGTTGTAAGCTTGTTTCGTAATAATATGCTGCTGAGTAGTGGTTCTGTAATGTGAACGATCGATCATCACTAACCGCGATCAATTGATAAACTTGGCGTGTATTTATTATAATACAAAAACCTTTTTTTGTTAACAAGGGAACCCATAACCGCTATCCTTGTGATACGCACAAGGTAAATCCCGCTCCTATATAATAGCCCTTAAATCATACAAGAACCCCACTAGGCAAGCTCCATGCAACGGGCTCAATCGAAAAGATATGCAACTCGGCCACCCGGGGGGTAATACAAAAATCTTTGCAAATGGAAAACATAAAAAAAAAAAAAAAAGGGGGNNNAAAAAAAAAAAAAAAAAAAAAAGGGGGAGGGGAGGGGGGGATAATTTTGTTACATTGGAAGAGTATATATAATGGAGAAAAAGGTTAACATATGTCAGGTAAAGAAATAATGTTGTTTGTTTTTGTGAATAATTGAGCTTCTAAGACTGATCGAGTTCACAGTGAGATATCTTTAACCGATCAATTTTGTGCCATCTCATAGAAATGCTGCTCGGAATTTTCATAATATACATTTCCATACTTCAGTATCACCAGTTTTCGTTATTATTTTTGGACCCCTTGCGGTATAGTATTACAATTTGTTGTATGTAGACTTGTAGTCCACAACTTCCAACAAGAAGGGTTGATAGCAATAGGCATTGCAGTCTGGTAAGTGAGAAATCCTAGTATATGTTGGATATAAAAGAAAATAATAGCCGCAGTGTAAGCGGTTGTTGCGGCCAAACACACACGCCAGTATACGCGGTCGTCAAGTAATAGAGTAGTGAGTAGAGTACCGTTCCCACAAAGACTTATGATCAACTGTTGACTGATTCAAACCCAATTTCTTTATCTACCTAAGAAATTGTTCACAAGAGAGAGATGTAATTGTTTTACTACTTAACTATAAAGAATTAATCTAACTAAAGCAAGTAACCAAACAGATAGCAATCACAAGTAACAAACAATAGGAGAAGATATTTCAGGGTCACAGGCATAGTTACATTCGTGTTGTGTTCTTGGCTCGAAATGACTAATCAATTTATCTGGGTTATTGATTGACAAAGTTGATATTGCTCATAAGCATCTGTCGAGTTCTTACTCGCCTATTCAAGTCAACTCAATGCTTATATATCTATGGAATTAAGATTAACAAGAACGCATTTACAATTCCTGTATTCCAACCAAACAAGGCAA